CCTGCCCAAAAATAGGGCTGTGGAGATAGCTCAGCGGCCGAAGCACCTCCCTGGCGGGTGCAAAGACCCTGGTTCGATCCCCGGTACCATATACTGAGCTGGCCCCATGCTGTGCCAGCTACCAGAACCAGGCTTGGTAATGCACGCCTGTAGTCCCAGTGCTGGCCACGCTGAGACTGGAGGGTCACTACAAGTCTGAGCTGCAGTAACAAATAAATAAAAGATAAAAGAAAATAAATAAAAATAAAAAGCAGGGGCTGGGGAGATAGCTCAGTAGAATAAGTGCTTACCTGGCAAGCCCAGGGGCCTGAGTTCAATCCCTGGTTCCGCCAAAAAATAAAAAGCAAAGTGCTAGCAAAAGTGGACAGATAATTGTTCTAAATTGGGCTCAAGTGAGCAGCAAGTGGAAAGGCAGGGGCTATGAGCTGTGGTGGTAATAGTTATTAGTACAGTAGTCATACCTTCCTCCAAGAGATGAGTATTTGTCTTACAGGCATTTTGTTAACTTTTCAGTATCTCTAAGTATGGTTAGTAGCAGCACAGAAAACTGTCTTTCTTGACCTGGATGATTCACATAATCATAATGACATATACAAGATCGTAAGTAGCCCTCACACACACACACAGTAGGTGGATTTGGCCATTACACAGAAACTGTATTTACTGAAATGAGAATGACAAAGTTGTGGTTTTAGTTTAATATTGATTACAGGAATTGTTTTATAAATAACTTGGGTATTAAGATATGAAATACGGGATAATTTCCTTTTCAATGCATTATAAAGGAAATAGCTCTTTCATACGCACCACAGTTCCTCTTGTCTTTCCTGTATAATCTGAGAATTGTGCTTTTAAAGAGCAACTTGCTGACCCCTTCAAATAACAATTAACATAAGCAGGCCATAGTTTTCATTAACCTTCAATCCCAGCCCTTCTTTCTTAAAGCTCAGTTCAACACTGTTTCTGAGGGTTGTCTCATCACCCTGTTTGCCTAGCCAGGACGCAGCCAGCCCACTGTAAACCCTAAGTGGGGTGCCACGGATGAGAGTCTGAGACTTTAATTACATGTCATTTGACGCACAACACTCAATTCCAGGAAGAAAAAATGGCTCTGTTGTTGTAAAAGACATATTATGTGAGTATCATTCACTGTAAACCCAAAATGATACTGTATTATAGCAGAGACAACAATGAGAACTGATTCTGAAAATGTGACCTGTCTGAGAAACTGAATAATAGTGAAAGTTATCAAAATGGAAAGAAGTGTTAATGTGAAATCCAGCCTTCTCAGAAATATTCTTCCCTGGCCTGTTTGGTTTTGCTTTTGTTGCTTGTCATGCATGAATGAAAGTGCTCTACTCTCAGGGGAGCAGGCAAGCCTCTGTGTCGGTTGTTTATTTCCCTAATCCCTCCTCCTTTGTGATTTTTGATGTCAGATCTAAAATGGAAAGCCTGTAAATATAATGATTATCACATGGATAATCACCTGCATTAGGAACCACCCTGCTTCTCTATTCTAACCTTAGCTGTTCTCCACATGTCACATCCACTCTGTGGCGGGATTTTAACCTGACTGCTTCATTAGATTTGTGAAACTCAGTACGAGGCGCCCTGGGGCAGCACAGATGGGAACTTGCTTGTTTTCTTTTCTCACTTTTCCTGCGATGGCACACTAAAAAGTCCCTTTCAATTTAGTATGATCAGTTCACTTGGAATTAACCCTGGTATCTGGAACTGCCTCCTCTTTTGCCCACCGTCTCCGCCCACTCTTTCTTCCCTGTTTTCTGACATAAAGCCTTTTCTTTCTAGCACATCTGAGAACTAAAATTCTGCTTAAAATGCTTACCAGGTCAAACTGTTCCCTTGTGTTATTTTATTTGTTTTGTTGAGGGAGAAAAATAAATGTTGTTCCATCAATGTAGCTACAGCCACCTTCAGATCGGAGGTTAGCTGTGGGAAAGCCTGCAGTCATGTGAGCCGGCTGCCTCAATGGAGTGACTTGGGGCAGCAGCCCAAGATCAAAGGCAGGTGGGGGGAAGTCACAAGATAAGATCATTCTAAGCCACAGAATGAGTGCTGAGCCTTTTACTGATAGGGCACAGAGCGGCAAACCTGTGTGAAGGGGCACCAAGATAGAAAATTGACTTGACTTCTCTTAAGTATGTCCTTCCTCAGCCAGAAATATGTCAGTGCTCGGAATTATTTACACATGTGAAAATGTTCTAGGGCCTGGTTTCCTTATAAAATGATCATCTGACATTTAATGTATATTACATTTAGTTCTAGTATACCCTGCCAGATTATAGTTAATATTTTAGGAATATATGAACAAAACTAGATACTAAAAAACAGTTTAATCTCAATATGTGGTGTTTAGGTCTTTATCTCTTACTGTGATTTTTCCCCTACAGATTCTTTATTTTAACTGTCTATAGTCCATAGGATTTCTTTCATGGCTCTGATGAAGTTCCATGTAAATAGTCTTATAAATAATCTTAGCAGACTTTTGCAGTTGTCTTTTTATATAGGAATTAGTTTGGTTAATTAAGACAGCTTGGAAACACCACGGTGATATCTTTTGAACCTTTTCCTTGATATCCGAGCCAGCAAATGTTACTGACTTTTTATGTACAAAGTTCAGTTGTAAGGACATTGTCAAGAAGCTAACCTGGCTTGTTAGGTCATGATTCGACTTTTTTTTTTCTGGTCTCCAGCTCAGGCCCACTTGGTCAGCCTTGTGTTTCTGTAGTGCGTAGCCTAAGGAGTTGTGCTTTCAGCTTATCATTGTCGTTACCTTCAGTGTTGAGCTGTATTCATGCATTTTGACCTTTGCAAACCCTCAAAATGGTTCTCTAAGTCTGTAGGTTATCGGTATGTCAGACCATAAGTGCACACGTATAGATTCCTTCCTCAGTGTTTTCCACAACATGTAGGTAGTTCCCGAATTTGTGCTGAAGACACTGACTGTACTTTCTACCTTACATGGTTTGGTGCAGCAGTCGTTTTAGTTGAGTTGGATCTGCTTGCTACTCAGGCTCAAATCCCATCCTTCTATTAATATCTCTTGGCAAAGCTAATTTGGGAGGAATGTAAGTTAAGATGTAGAGGCTCTTGACAGTTGTCTGCAATTTTTTTTTTTTTCACTTTCAAGAGGGAAGAAGAGTTGAAAAGTAATATTGCTTCCATTTTCTATCAGTCCTAAAATTCAAATATATGTGCAGGCCTGCTAGTAAGAGAGAAGAGATTTGATTACACAGATTCTTTGAGGGGGGGTGGGTCATTAGATAACCTGTTAGGAAGGTACTGTGTGTATGATAGTGTTCACCAGATTGTCACTTAAGATATTTAAAATATGGAAGAACTTGTGTATGACAGTTGTTTAACCATTTTTAAGATGTTCACCTTTTGTTACCATCTCACTTTATAAAAAGAGAAATTGGGAATTGGGGATGTTATTGTGAAAATTTTCAAACAGAGTAGTAGAGACACTGAGCTAGAAATATAGCTGAGCAGCATAAGAGCCTGCCTGCCAAGTGCAAGATCCTGAGTTTGATCCCTGATACTGCAAAATCAATCAGATAGATAGATAGAGATACTGAACCCCCATGTACCATATACATATTTAGATCTCATAGTTAATATTTTGCCTCACTTCATTTTTTTACAAAGTTTTCTAAAATAACTTATATAGTTTATGGCATTTTTATCCCCAAATCTTTTAGGATACATCTCTGAAAATTAAGGGCATTTTCTTTATCAAACTGATAATTCCTAATATCACTTAATCTCCATTTTTATTCAGTTCTCTCTAGCTGTCTCCAAAATGGTTTTTATAACTGGTTTGTTTAAAACAGGATCCAATTAAGATTCATACATGTCTCCTGCTCACTGTCCTCTCCCCATTACATCATTCACGTGAACTTGTTAAAGGGACTAAGCTAATTATACTCTACATGTGCACCTTATAGATCTGACCTTTGCTTTCTCATTGTATCTGTCTGCCTCCCATCCTCTGTCGGTGATTGCAAATTATTGGACCAAAGTGTCTTTTTCTTTCTCCTTCCTCAGTCCTGGGAGGGGGCATGAACCCAAGACCTTGCACCTGCTCAAGCAAGTGGCTGTGCCACTCAGCTGTATTCCTCTCTCTGGGTTTTTCTTTATTTTGAGACAGGATCTGAAGAAGTTGCTCAGGCCAGACTAGAGTTTGTGATCTTTTCTTAGCCTCCAAGTTAGCTGCTGAACCTGAGTTGGACTAAAGTTTTGATTAATTCATGTTAAGTTTTTCTGTCGAAGTACTGTGTAAGTGACGCTGTGAACTTCACAATGCATTATAAGTGGAGGCAGGGACTCTTTGGAGATCTGCTTTCAGCAACGCTAAGTGATGGGGCCCATCTCTGGGCTACCATGATCACAACTTGATCTTTCCATTGTACGGTGATGCTTTGCTCCTGGGACTAGTGTATCATCTGTGGTTCTTTGATTTTGTGGAAAAACCCAGTGCCCCATCACCCTCTCACCCAATGAATTTTAATGTCCATTAATGATCCTTGTCTGGTAAATTTGATCATCAGAAATGTAAAATGATTTTTTTTTCTGAGTCTATACATTCATTAGCAGACATACTGCTCTACAGAAGAGCTCTCTGAAAAGTATTGTTTTAATTAAAAATATAACCACAAGCAAGTTCCTTAGGTTTCAAATAATTGTCTTTCTTTGGTGAGGTCAGAACACCTGAACTTACTGTGGCAGCTACAGTAAAAACATGCACTACATCTTCTTTATTCCAACTTGTGAAGTGTGTTGACATTATGCTGCCTTTTTTTTTAATGCCAAGAGAAAAAAAAAGAAATCTTTTTTGGTGTAAGAATAAAACTGAACTCTGTGGGTATATTGAGATAATTGTGTAAAAAAGAAGACTGTTTGAATGAGTTTCAAAATGGATTATTTCTTCATTACCTAGCACTTTGTAATTAACTGTTCTTTTTTTTATTTTTTTTCAGGAAGCTGCCACTTTTGCTAGAGAGCAAGGCTTTGAGGTGAGTTAACCCACAATTGCACACTAAACAGATTCTAAAGGTTTTTTTCTAGCTGATAATGAAGTTCTTTTGGACAGTGATTGATGTGCTATTATACTCTCAGAGCCTCGCAGCTGTTGCCATGGAAACTTGGCAGTCGTCATGGTTTCTTTGTTCTGCCAGCACAGTGTTATGACGCACTCTGCTAGGTCTGCACCCAACATCGCCTACAGATGTTATTTATTGAATTTTGAAAAGCCTCTTGGGAAGCCAAGAGGTTGGGCACGGTTTCAAGCTGCCTCTGCAGATATGGGGCCTGTCAGTTTGTTCAGTTAAAAAGCTACCTCATTAGCTGCATTACATTTCATAAGGATTCACTGGTAAAGTAGTCGTGGAGCAAGACTAAATAGTGAAATATAACGTCGCTTAAATAATTTCAGCCCTATCACATGTAGATTATCATTATGCAAATTAATTTCCAAAAGGTTGTACTTAACAATTGTTAGGAACTGATTAATTTAAATCCTGCTCGTATGAACTTCCTGTTTGAATCTTTTTTTTTTCCTCTCTCCCACTTGCTTTTCATTATTTTTTGGGTATTACATATATACAAATTTCCTGAAACAAAATTGATAATTGACATTAATTTCCGGGTCTTGATTCTATTTTCTTGATAGAATCATTATCATGTCATGATTTAACACTCCATGTGGTGGTTGTTGGCAAAATTAAGACAGAGTCAAGACCATGTTTTTATATCTGTAATATCCATGTTCTAGTTGATTGTTAGAAAACACCAACTTCAATATGAACCAAGGTTAATTGACAAGGAATTGACTGAATTGTCTTTTATAAGGATATTTATAGAGACAGAACTAGGCAGAATGCTTTGCCCTATATGGTAACTCGAAGTATTATAAGACAATAATTTGTAAGAATTTAATGTGACCAGAGCTGAAATAGAGGAACTTTCCTTATTTGCATACTCAGCATTGTCTACAGTCTAAAAAAGCTGTGATCATGATTGGCTAATACCAGCGAGCTTACTCTGAGCTCCTTAAGGAAAAGGTGAATTTGTGATGAAGCTGTAACTCAGATGTACTAAAGGCATAGTCATTATTGAGCAACAAAGAAACACACGTGTATTTTCTGACTTGATAATCCAAAAACATATGACTTCTTTACAGAGGAAGATAGTGAGTGTGTGCTTTAGGCATTTTCTCAAGATCTTATGAAAGAACTTATTGAGGGTAGAATAAAAGCTCACAGGGCCTGCAGGATAGCTCAGCGGACTAAGCGACTGCTTAGGCAAGTGCAGGAACTGGGGTTCAATGCCTGGCGCCCCATGCCATACTGGCCCTACCCCCAGGCCTGGTGGCACTGGCCACCAAGGTCATTATGGGTCTGAGCTGTATAGTGAGACCCTGTAACAAATACGAGAGAGAAAGAGAGAGACCTCACCAATACTCAGTTTTTATAAACTAGTTTTTTCTCCCCCCCCCCCTTGTTTTTTTCCCTTTTTTTTTAGAAACTATAATTTCTTAGGGGTTTGCTTTTTGCTTTTATAAACATACTCTAGTGACTATAGAGTTGAATTATATAGAAAAGCAAATTACTAGAGTTAGAGTTTGTTCATTTAGTTTTTATCTCATTTAATTTTTACTTTGTAAGTTCCCAAACTGACAATGTATAAGATAAGGTATCATCAGGGGTGTGTTCAATATAAAAAAAATAAATATTTTTATTTTAAGAATATTAGCCAGGGGGGCCTGGCCCTAGCTCAGGCCTTTAAGTGGCTGCTTCCACAAAGCTGTCAGCCTCAGGTTGCTGGAGTTCGAACCTCACAACTCTCCCGCTGGCCAAAAGTGCCCTGAAGGCATTCGAGGAACAAAAAAAAAAGAATATTAGCCAGGCATCGTGGCACATGCCTATAACCTCAGCACTTGGATCCTTAGCCAGAAGGATCACCATAAGTTTAAGATCAGCCATAGTGAATTCAAGATAAGCCTTAACTACATAGGGAAGAGAAAGAAAAAAAAAAAAAAAAAAAAAAATATATATATATATATATATATATAGTCTCAAAAATGTGTGTATGTTTTCAATGTATTTGAAGTTATACTGCTGTTGTTTTAATATTAAAAATTAATACGCTATTGATATACCAGAATTGTCCATAGATAATAGCTTACTGTAGAACATCAGTGTACACATTGGCTGTTTACTGTTACCATAAAAATGTATTTTGGATCTATAGAATAACCAGTTTTACAGATACGCAAAAATATAACACATGTCATAACAAATGCCTACCGTTCCAGCACACCTCTGTAATATTTTTTTTAAAAAATTTAGTAAACTTAACTAATTCACACTTTTATTTCGTCCTTGAGTGCCTCTCTCTGAATATGCCTGGTTTACTTTCAGTCTTTTTTATCTTTTGTAATGATGATTTTTTTTTTAATGTATTTATTATAGGGTCCACAGAGTCTCCCTACCCAGATCAGACTTGTAATGATCCTTCCTGTTTTTCAGCCTGCCAAGCACTGGGATTACAGGCTTGCGCCACCACACTAGTCTCAATCACTGGCTCAGTGCACCCTGGGGGCAGGCACACCAGGGATTGAACACTGGTCCCAGCATCTGCCTAAGCATGCGCTTTAATCCACTGAGCTTTCTGGCCATCTCTGCTTTCAGTCTTAGCACAAACTATTTTTCTATTTTCTACTATTAACCTTCCCATTAATTCTTATTTACTGGTTTCAGAATTGTTTCTTTTTGCCATAAATCTGCCGTAGTGGATTACAGCATATAAGCAAAGTGATGATGATTATAATTCCACACCTTATTACCTCCTGACATAGCAAACAGCCCTGTCAGTGATGTTGACTGTGATATGTTCAGTTGGATAAAGCACACAGTGTCTTGACATGTCCCTTTATGGGTTCCCCAAAACATTAGAGGCATTGCAGAATATTTATGAACTATGAGTAGGATGGCCTCAAGTAAGCATTGTTAATAAAATACAGTCTATGTACAAAGCACTAGAGAAATTTGGTGATTTTATAATGTCATCAAAGTTTCCTTAGTTCGTTAAACAGAAATATGAAAGCATAGGTTTGGAGCTTAGTATTTGTAAGGAGTAAAACAAGAATAAATCACTTTAAGGAAGTATATGAATGCTCTTAAGTCTAAAGTAACAAAATTAGACAAAAATCTGCACTTTATGTCTTCTAACTTTAATAGTCTCTACGTTTGAAGCAAGACTAAAAAGCGAGAAATGAAAAGATTAAAGGAGAAGTGTTTCCTTCCTCCCCGCCAGCAAGAGGGCCCTGCCCTCGTTTCCTACTATAAATCCCAATCAGTTCCCAGTGCATTGAGTGCTGCCACTGGTGATCTGTCTGCTGACAGGCCAGCGCAGCGCTTCTAGAATCAACTGGTGTACTCATTGGGAAGTGTCCTCGGTGGCATTGTTTCTGATATTCTGGTTAGCGCCTCTGCAAATTTTAGATAATCTTTATTAAAAAAAAAAACTTTAATCTTTAAAATGAATTGGATAATTTTCAGTGAGAAGCAGCAGCTTAGGAGGGCACTGGAGAATGAGATAAAAACTGGAGCGGGGCAAAGCACAAAGCAGAAGAGAGAGGATTTTTTTTCTATATATATAGGTGATGGAAAATTGCATAGTGCCTGATTTAAATGACAGACCTGCTAAGAATTTAAAATGACAATTCTTGAGGTAAAAAGTTTCACAAGGCCTTTCATTATTCTGGAAAAAATCAGTTCAGACTGCAGTGTATTTTTAAATATGCCTTATCTTGAGCTGGACCGATTAAAGGTTTGTATTTTTAGAACCTAAATAAAAATAAAGTATTTGAAAAGCATGTTTCATTAGGAAGCCTTTTTCAAACTATTGGAAATTGATTTAAATTAAATAAAGTGTGAAAAAAATACCTTCAAAACCTAAATATACTCATTGTCTCCAACACGGAACATGCCGACTGATGAGGGGAATTCATATCTCTATTGGAGCCTGTATTCAGCATCATCCCAAGCACAAAATTTAAATATTCCATTGGGTCTGTAAAATATAATACTCTGTTCAGAGAGGAAACAAAAGCAGTCATTTTCCCTTTTCCTACTTCTCCCATAGCTCTAGCTCTTCAGAGGACCCAGTCTGGTCATCTTTCTCTGGTGACAAGGACTCTGTCTGTCCAGTACAGTATTCACTAGCCACATGTGGCTATTTAACCCAGATTACTTGAAACTAAATAAAATGCAAAGTTCAGATGCGGATGTGGTGGCATGAGTTTGTAGTCCGACCAAGCGAGAGAGTTAAGGCAGGAGGATCCCTGGAGCACAGGAGTTTGAGGGCAACCTTGGCAACAGAGGAAGACTCCACCTCAAAAATCAATAAATACAATGAAAGTCGGTTCTTAAGGTGACGCAGGCAGATTTCTAAAGCTCTATGTCCTTCGTGAGCAGTGACCGCGCTATTGGCCAGCGTAGGTTAGAACATACTCACTGTCCCAGAAAGTGTTCTTGATCAGCACTAGAAAGCCTACAGGGAGTTCCAGGACATACTGATATCCACAGAATTCTACAGTGATTGTAAGCTTCCTTGGTTCTTTACAAATACAAAGATTACAACAAACAATCTTTGAAAGTTTCCTAAAGTAAGACACTAAGTTGGGTCCTGCTGGCTAGGAGAGTCCGCTGCTGCCTTCATAGGTAACACAGGTGTCCAGAAGAGGATAGTGTTTAAATAGAGGACACAATGAACAGATAAGGGAGTCTTCTAGTTAGCTTTAATTATTATAAATATTTACTGAACACTTACTGTGTGCTGAACACACTCCACTACACCATAACAACAAGGTAGAGATGACCAGAGAGTGCATTGTGAAAGAGCATACAGGAATCATTTAGATAAAATGGTCATTGAAGGACTCTCTAGGGACACGAGGTCTGAAAAATAATTATTAATATCTAGCAATGACATAAAAAAGCCAAACAGAGGA